GCAAGGTTGTGGAATATAAAGAAACTATTTTACAATGTTACTGGGAATATAAAGTAGTATATACTATGGTAATCAGTATGGAGATTCGTCAAAAACCTAGGAATAGAAGTTCTGTTCAACCTAGCTGTACCTCCTCTGAGCATATTCCCTGGAGAGTTAAATATGTCATATTACAACGATACATTCATTGCTGTTTACAGCAGCACAACTCATAATAGGTAAATCTTGGAAATATCCTATATGTCCATAAACAAATGAATGATAAAGAAAATATTGTAATACTAAGTGAAATAAATCTTACACAGAAGGCTAAATATCCAAAGTGTAAATAATTTAAAGAGCAAATTAAAAGACAGATGATAGGAAACTGTGAGGTAAACCTAGGCATGTAGGAAGATGAAAGAAAGGTGAGGTGAAGGGGTAGTAAAGAGGACTAAGAAGCAATACGTATAGGTACTCACTCCCCATGATGAATGTATTCATTATGTACTAACAGAAAATAAATAAATACAAATAAAATTTCAAGGAATATGTAAAGAAATTACTAGAAGTAATAAGTGTGTATAGCAGGTTCATAGGATACAAGATAAACATACAGAATAGATTATATTTCTATATAAGCAACAGCCATATGGAAATCCAAATTAAAAATACAATACCAATTATAATTGGTCAAAAATAAATATTTATATATAAATCTAACAAAACCTATATATGACATGTGGTGAAAGGTGCAAAACACTAAATAAATAAATAAATCAAAGAACAAAATTAATGGAAACAGATACCATGTTTATGTTTGGAAGATTCACATAGTAAAAACATCAATTTTCCTCACGCTGATAGTTTTAACAATTCCTATCAAAATTCCAGCAAGATTTCTTGTAAATATACACAGACTATTCCAAAAACCTATAGAAAAAGGCAAAGGAACTAGAATATCTTAAAAAGAAAGATGGGAGAAGCATCTACCCACTTCAATTTTGTACTTATAGTAGATTGTGTAGTGTTGGCACAGGGATATACACAAATGAGCAGAACAAAATAGCAGACCTAGAAACAGATCAATATAGACAACTGATCTCAATGTTGTAAATAATTTAATTTATAAAACTGTGGCATAGTAAATGGATATTTGTGTGTTAAAAAATCCAAGCCTTACATTTTATACAAAAATTAACTCACAGTAAGTGATGGACCTATAAATAAAATGTCAAACCATAAAACTTCTATAAATGTTAGGAATATTTAAGATATAGGGCTAGATCTTTCTGGACTTGACTCCAACAATGTGATCTATTAAAGGAAACACTGATGAACTGGACTTCATTAAAATTAAAAACATTTGCTCTGTGTAATACCCTGTTAAGAGGATGAAAAAGGATAGACCAAAAAAGTATTGCAAACCACATGTCTGACAAAGGATTAGTATTTAGAATATATGGCATACCTATCAAATGGCTAAAATTAAAAATCAATACTTTGTAAGGATGTGAAGAAATTGTATCACTCATACATTGTTGGTGGAAATATAAAATGGTACAGCTATTCTACAAAACAATTTGGCAGTTTCTTTATAACTAAACATGCACTTATCATACAACCCATTAATTGCATTTCTAGCATTTATTCTAGATAAAAGGAAACTTTGGATCATTCAAAAATCTGTGATAAATATTTATAGGAACTTAACTTGTGAAAACCCTGAACTAGAAACAATACATATGTCCTTCAATAGTGAGTGGTTAAAAAAACTATGCTATATTCCTAACATGAAATACTACCAATAATCAAAAGGATCAATATTACATTATATACACACTGTACTGAGAAATAGACACTGTTTAAAAGGGTAGTCTGAAAAGGTTATATGCTGTATGATTTCATTTATGTAGCTCTCTTGAATTGACAGAATTACTGAAATAGATAATTCTGGGAGGGAGATAGCAGCAAAGTGATAGGTGCGGCTATAGGAGGGCAACAAAAGGGTCCTTGATGTGAAGAAAATGTTCTACATTTTGATTATATCGATGCCATATCCTAGATAGTGTTTCATTATTGTTTTAGTTACTTTCTTATTGCTGGAACAAAATACCCAACACCCACAAGTTAAAGAGGAAAAGTTTATTTTTGGCTCACAGTTTATAGAGGTTTCAATCCATAGTTGGCCACATGGCATGAGGCAGCACAGCAGAGGAGAAATAGTCCATATGGTAGGGCAGAAAGCAGCCAGCAGCCTTTTCCATTTTATTCTATTCAGACTACATGCCTATTGGTTGGTGCCACCCACACCCAGGGTGGGCCTTCTCATTATTCACACCCAGAACTACACTAAACCAATCAATGGATTAATTCAATTATTATATCCATAATACAAAAATCACACACTCATGATCAGCCACTCCCAAAGCCCCACCTAGTGCATGAGGCTTTGAGGGGGACATCTAGAAACAAGCCATAACTACTATGGCTTTTCATTTGTTATAACTGGGGAAACTAGGTAAATGGCACAAAGAATTTGTCTGTATTACTTCTTACATTGCATGTGAATCTGTATTTTTCTCAAAATAAAAACTTTGATTTAATAAATAGCAATTTTTGACTACCAAGAATACAACTGAAACATAATGTTATAACCAGTTAAAAGTAAAGAGGACAGAAAATTCTTCCCCATGCTAATATTAGTCAAAAGAAGGCTGGATTTCCCATTTTAATATAAAATATATTTCAGAGAAAAAAGACTATTATTATGGATAAAGGTTATTTCAGAAGATATAGGGGTCATTTACATGAAAACATAAAAATCTTAAATATGTGTCTCTAATAATAGAGCTTCAAAACAAAATGAAATAAAATTGATAGTGCTGCAAGGAGCAAAAGATAAATCCACAATTATAGCTAGATTTCACTATTGTCTTTTCAATAATTGATAGAACAAGCAGACATAATGTCAGCAAGGAGATAGTTGGCTTGACAAACATCAACCTAGCTAGCATGTAAAGAAGTCTCCACTCCAAAGTGATAGAGGATACATTCTTTTCAAGGACATTATGGTTAAGATCTAAAATATCCCTCCAAAGTCTCAAGTGTTTGGAAGGTGACTGTATCATGGCGGTAGTACACTGATGAGTTCACAGCTGAATGTACCATTAGGAGGTATGGCCTGATCAGAATAGCTGGGCCATTGGGGATGGAAAGTTGTATTCTTGCCCCTGGTTATCTCTCTCTCTCTCTCTCTCTCTCTCTCTCTCTCTCTCTCCCCGCTTCGTCCCCCCACCTTCTTTCTGACTTGGATGGGATGAATAGCTGTGCTCTTCCAGGCCCTCCCACTATATCATGTCTACATAGTAAAGTTTCTGCCTTGGTAAAGTTTCTTGCTGAACCACTATTCTTCATGAACACAGATGTAAAATTTCTGAACAAAATAGTCAGTGAATGTATCAATATATAAAAGGGTAATGCATCACAACAAAGGGGATTTTTCCCAGGAATTCAGGGTTGGGTCAGCATTAGATCAGTCAATATAATTTATTATAATTAACAAGCTAAGATAAGGAGAGCATAGTCTGAGCTGCAAACTGAGGACAGAGGTTATACTCCCGCTCCTTGATATCCACAGATCAGAGTAGGATCAACCCCTCTGTACACCTTGGCTAAAATTTTGCCTTTCACTTATTTTTGTCACTGCCTAGAGAGTGTATATGATTCTTAAGAATAGATATGCTTTTTCTCATACAAGAACACAATTTGTTATACATATTATATGATACTTCACAAGTGACTTGTTGTATTGGAGATATAATTTTAATATTCTTTATTTCGGAGTTAAATCTCCAGTTCCTCTTTGGGATTCATTTGGATTCCTTTGAATTTGTTTATCAGGCCATTAATGTAGGGTTTATGGCACATCCTTTGCTCAAAACAGGTACCTTCAGGAAGATAGATCCTAAAGGTGACTTTGAAACACTCAACAACTTGTCCATGACAATATTATACATATCCTTTTTAAAATTTATGTTCAAAACCATGATGTTTTACTTATTTTTCTCAGCATTCAAAAGCATGACTTATTTGAAACAGCCCCTTTGCCCATCAGTTGGAGACTGGATAAAGAAGATGTGGTTTTTCTATAAAATGAATACTACTCAGCCATAAAGAATGAGAAATTAGGTTCATTCATTGGAAAATGGATACATATTGAGGCTATATGCCTAAGTGAAATAAATAAGTCACACGTGTAAATACCGTATAGTTTCTCTGGTTTGAAAAACTATTACAGTACATAAGACCCTAATGATATAATTGACAATGTGAAATAGGAAGAAAAGGGCTAAAGGTGTAGGGAAAGTGGGAAGGGCAGGGGAAAGGAAATAAGGGAAAAGAAAAAAATATGAGAAAATGAAAAAAGTGGAAATAAAGTGTTTGTAAATGGGGAGGGTAGGAGGGAGTGAAGGGAGGTCAGGGACAAAGGGAAAAAATGAGAACCAAGACCTGTCATGTAAAGGTATAAGATCCCAATGATGAATGTAACTGTACTGTATACCTAAAATGTACCAGTAAACTCAGTGAGAGAAAAAAACCAACAACATGACTTATTTACTCATGAATCAAAAACCTTTACTTCTCTAGACAGGGATTTAGCTCAGTGGTGCTATCGCCTGCCTCACAAGCACAAAGTCCAGATTTTGATCTCTGTTATCAAAACAAAGACCTTTACTTCTCAAAGCTGTCTTTAAATTTTCCATTTTAATGTACCTCATAATCTTGTCAGGTGCTGTGGTATTTTATGGTATTTCAGTTCATATGTAGTATTTCCAGAGACTCCTTACCAATACCAACTCAAATTTTAATATTGACAAATTTTAGCAGTTCTTGGTTTTTCAATACTAGAAGCCTCTGCGAGAGAGGAAAATTCAAATAAAAATAGTGACTTTTGTTTCAGGTCATCCATTTTTGTTACAAATAAGTAGCTCTGAAGAACCTCAGAGTTTCCTGCTTACCTGTTAGTCTGATGAAACTGGTTAGATGGATGCTCCAGAGTTTATACATTAAATTCACCCTGTAGTATGTGACTCTTCAACCCTAATGTAACAGGAAATTAAACACTGAATGTCAAAGTACACGTGACACCTTATGCAGCTTTTCAAAAACAACGGTAACCAAAAGCTGCCATACTGTAACTACCAGATGAAATCAAACTTGGAATAACAAAACCAAAACGGCAACCCTAATTTGTTTGTAATGTTTAAACTCAAGACTTCAAATAATTCCACAAGTACATCTTCATTAATAACTTTAAATTGCGAGAATCAATAAGCATTGAATGAGCAATCAGATCTGGTTGTGTGCTCCAGCTATGCAAATGGTTTGTTGGGTGTTTTGGGGATTGTCATTTAATATCTCCAGTTCCTAATGTCCTCAAGAATGAAGGTTTGGAGTATTTGTATAATTTCTAAGCTTCTAAATCTATGATTCTATTCCTAAAGAAGAAATGTGAATTAATTAGGCCATCAAAATTAGCATCATCTGCAAAAGGAACTTAATTCAATTTCATTTCTTGCTATGACATAATTGGATATATTGATATGGCATGAAACAGTGAGGGTTATTATACTTAAACCCTAATATGTTCTACTGATTCAGGTGAAAATGCCAAGGAATTGTATGAAGGCATTCTTGTTTCTAGTCCAATTCAATCTTAGTAAAAGATGTTAACTGTTTTTTGGTGAAAGAACACAATCTCAGTTTAAATCAATATGTAGGTTAATGGAGCACTTGTCAAAGTGACCTCACAGGGTTTTATTCTTGACCTATTGTACTTTTTCTCATTTTTGACAGTGACCCAAAGGAGAAGAATTTTTCAAATCAACCTTGGGAGAGATGTTTAACATGTTAAGAGAACAGAATAAAGATTCAAATATATCCTAGACGAGGGAAGCAAACACACAAAGCAAGAAAAGAAATTGAAGGAATGAAAGTTCAGTCTTACCTCCCACATTTGTTACCCAAACCATCGGCTACCCAGAAACAATTTGAGGACGAATTAGTTTAACAACTCTTCTCCCACTACCTCAAGCAGCTCAAGAAGTCCTCCAGAGTTGATGGTGCTAGACAAAATCTTTAAAATATGAATACACACTTGAGCCGCACTCACAGTAGTGCTTAGATCACAGAACCAAAGTTCTCCCGGATATCCTCTGCAGACAAATCTCACAGGAGTTGTAAGAGCCAGTCTGGGGTACCACACTTAATGAGCAAGGCTGTGAGGAATCCTGGATACACACCATGCGCGGACATTTTGGATAGCGAATTCTTAGACCAGACTCACACGAGTAGCGCTTGAGGGTGTAGGAAGTCCAATTTGCAGACAGGAAAGCAGAAAGCACAAAAAGGAACGCCATAAGATTAACCCCAGGCAACACGCGCACAGGTGACGTGCACACGGAGGCCGCGCCCAAGGGCGGAAGCTTGCGGGTAGGCGCGAAAGAGCGCCCCTCCCCGCGCCCCCGGACGTGACGCACGTCCCACGCGCTTCCAGGTGTTGAGCCCGGGGCGGCCGCGCGGATGGCTGTGGGGAGTCCTGACGCCTCAATGGTTGCCCGGGGCGAGGCGCAGAAGTTAGGAGGGCTTGTGGCGAGGCTTCTCTCTTTGATGATTCTCAGTGGTTCAGGGGCTGCTGCTGTGTGTTGTTGGGCGGCTGTTGGGGCCTGGAACCATGGGCTCCGGGGGTGCGAGGTGCCCCGCAGGGCTGCTGTTGACCCTGGGCTGGCTGCTCCTGGCCGGCCTTAGGTTCTCCAGTGCGATGAATGTCACTGCCCTTCAGGACCCGGGTGTCACCCACGAGGCCGAGGCCCAGAGCCAGGGCGAGGGTGAGAACGATGAGGACAACTACTACAAAGTGGAGGAGACAGAAGGCCCGACAGAGACTGAGGATGATGGTGAGGGAAGAGGCTCCTTGCAGGGCTCACTGAGGCCCCTGTGAAGGGCAAAAGCCTGCTCTTTGTCCCAAACTAGAACTAGCCTTGTTACCCTCTGTAAAGCGCTCTCTCATACACCAGCCCCGAGTTTATCGATACTGTGCATTTTAGGGCCTTGAAGAAAGATGTATATTTTTAAGTACTGCTTGGAGAAGGAGAAACCTTTTCAAGGGGTGCAAGTAGCCTTCCACGTAGGGGAATCATCTTGACTGTGTGTCAGTCATTCCTTTTTCTGTTTGGGGGTTAGATTTTTTTTTTTTTTTTGAGTTACAAAGTGCTTAAAGTCCTCCACCTCCATTTGATGGAAAAACAATGGAATTCATAATTCCCTTTACTGTGACACATCTAGACTAGTATGCTGAAGAAACTGTTCCAAAGCCACAAGTCAGCTTCATGCATCTCCTATGGTTCCAGCACTTGCATCAGGGTAGTGTTGAATTTGTATGTTTAACTTCAAAGGAATGGTGGCAATGAAAAACATCAAGGGACAGTGAGAAGGATAGGGAAAGGGGAATAAGGGAAAAGGAAAAAATATGAGAAAATGTGAAAATGGAATTAAAGTGTTTGAAGGTGAGGAGGGGAGGAGGAGGTGAAGGGAGGGTGGGGACAAGGGGGAAAAATGAGAACCAAGACCTGGCATGTAAAGGTACAAGATCCCAGTAATGAATGTAACTGTACTGTCTACCTAGAATGTACCAATAAAAACATCAAGGGATCCAACTAATGGCATTGTCAGGTGATAACGTGTTAACCACTAGAGAATGAGCCTGTGCTTGGTACATAAATTTGCCTTATACCATTGGCTCATTGTGCAATAAAACTTGACAAGCTGTGGTACATGTTATATTGATCAGTGACTCACAGCTGATAGGTAAAAGGTCAGTTGCAAGCTTGCAGCTTTATAAAGGAGGATTCTCTTCCCCCACTAAATGATCTAGCTGAAAATTTTAATATCCTTGACATTCTCTTGTCTCCTCAATCTATACGTAGAGACTGGGTGCTTTGTCAGCCTTTCTTTTATTTCCTGATGACAGATAGTGACCATCAGCATCAGAAAGAAATTGGCTATTTGAGGTTTATAGTGGGATCCAGGTTTGTACTGTCTTGATAACATTGTCTTACAGAGAGCATGAATAGGTCCTTGACTTTGGAAATGTGAAAAAAAATGACTAGAAAAGAAGCATGATAGCTGTTGCTTCATTCTATCCTTTAATGTAATCAAGTGAACAATTTTAGTATTAAACTGGTCACAGGATACTTCTAGCTATAAAATAAATGCTAGATAGTATTTAGGCTGAACCCAAGTGATAGAGTTATTCGATACATTCAGATTCAAATGTAGGCAAGTTACTTATTCTCTCAATTCTCTGATTACTCATCTGTAGACTTCAGGGAGTCCAGGTACCCTCTGGGATAACAAATATACAGTTTTATGGACAGGTGCATTTTTTGGAGAAATTGAGAATCTAGAACTGCAAACAATTAGATATATCAGATATCTGAAATTTTCCAGGACCAATGTTAACATTTGTACAGCTTTTCTAACCCTAATGGGCCAGTAAAAACAGTCATTACCACTTACTAGCTAGTAGACTCTTTAAATATTCTTCACTTTTAAGTAATTTCCCAAATAATTTACAAAAATGAGAATGGTCAGTGAAAATATCTTTGTTAGAAACTTTAGTAGAATTTAAACATAAGCAAACCCCAAATTTTTATTCCATATATCATAGTTTTGAAGATGTACATGCTTTAACTGAATCAAGTAATTTGAATGCAACTAAATGATTGACTGTTAAGCATGAACCTGGAACATATTCATCATGTAAATACTGATTCCAGATTTCAAGTACATCGCTAATAGAGTCTAGTTTGTCTTTACTCTAGTTTTTTCTTTATTTGTATTTTGTTGTTCCTCACACCTGCTTAATGGGCATCTAACTAAGGGCTTTGCACTTGCCAGGCAGGCACAGTGTCACTGAGCTACATTATGGCCCTCTATCTGTATTGTCAAAACAATACTTTTTAAGACTATGAAGGCACATATTTTGTTGAAGAGAAGAATGCCAGTTTTTGCTGCATAATTGCAAAATATTTTCATTTTTAGATTTATAAACACCAAGTGGAATGATTAGTTCAATATGTTTTATTCATTTCTATACCAGCTATCTTCTTTTAGTCACCTTTGTATATACACCTGCCAACGTGATTTACCCATTTATAAATCTTGTCAAGTAAATGTTGGTGGGTAAACACCATGAAAAAAAAATACTGTCCACAGCCGTTTGGAAAAACAGTGTGGTGTAGGTTATTGTCATAAAATACTTCAGGATCAAATCCTTCATCTTGAAAGATGTAACTGGATGAGAATCCCATATATTATTTTCATCTTTAGAAATACAATGTTCAGTCATTATATTTCAATGTAGTTCAATTTTTCAATGTTCAATTCTTAAGTTAGAGAAAATTCATCCAGGATATTCACCTAAGATATCATCTGTTACTGAAATTTTTGCTTATATAGTCAATCTCACCACCATCATTATCTAAAATGCAGCTGTCTTTCTGTGTTCATCTTCTGATTCACTCAATAATTGTGAAATGTTTTTCTTTGTCAATTTTATTCTCTTTCCCATTATGGGCAAAATATGAAAAACTCTACAATCTCAACATTATTCATTGAAAACCAGAAACAGATTAGGATGGCTCTAGACTTTTCACATATGTTCCTGAAAGATAATGGGACACTTTGGATAAAGAAATTAAAAAATCAGAGACTGATGATAATAACTATGATTTATTTCAGTTACATCATATTTCTGGGAAACTTCATTCTTCAATTTTATTTTTTATTTTAAAAACTTATGAAATAACATTATTGAAGATGAAATCAAATGTTTCATGATAAGGAAAAAAATCACAAAAATATTATGTTACATTTATACCTTAATGCCTTTTATACCTTATATACCTTTAAAATATACTTTATACCATTTATATAGACAAAGGTTCAGTAGAGCCTTGACCCTGGGATTGAAACCAGGGCCTCCCACTTGCTAGGCAAGAGCTCCAACACAAAGCTACATTCCAGCCCTTATCCATAGTTTCTATGTTCATTATATCTCACAATGTACCTACCAGCTGAAAGTATTCAAGCATTCAAAGCATAAAAATGTCAAATCAAATTTGATCACCATGATAATCTAAATAATTTATTTAACAAAGTCAGTATTGATTTTCTTATGTATCAAATGCCTACTTCAAGGTACTGCATTTGGTGCTTGAAAATATAGGATAAAGTGTTTATGAAGCTAGTGAGCTTTTATAATAAAATAAAAATTCTTAGTAGTATGTGAAACTATTAACTATAAAATGAGTTTGAATTGGGTAAAATTATATCTTAAACATATTTATAGTGCTAAATAATTTATAGATTTTTTTGACACATTTAGTATGAATCAGATGAAATAAATTCATCCTCCAAATTTTATGAAGTTAACTTGGTCTGACAGAATTTAATTAAGTTGCTCAAACTCAAACAGCTAATTAGTGTTAGAGGCAGCTCTTTGGACTTCAAGTTTAATGTGCATTCCCATGTGATTTCTTGCCCCAAGATACAATGCCTTTTACAAATTATCTTTTTACACCTTGCTTTATTCTGCTGAGATTTCAGCCCTAATCTGTGCTACAAAAAGCTTGTTGTACACTGTAGCTAATGGAATTCATGCCAAACTTTAGTATGGTTAGAAAAAAGGAAATGTGATTTCAACCTAAGAGTAACTTGTCAAATAATTATATTCCTTGGTTATTTTGCTAAATAAAGTGTTAAAATAAATTCTTGGAAATATTTAAATTTACCATCTTAACCTCGAAATTAGTAAAACCAATCTATAACTTTTATAATTTTAATAAATACAATATAAATAATTTCTTTTTAGATGAAAATGACACACTACACGTTCTGTTATTTTTTTGGAAAATAAAAAAAGTTCTTTTTTGTGTTTTTCTTTCAAGTAGAATTTTAACTCATCGTGTATTAACTGATGGAAAAAACATTACATACAAGGTTGAAATACTTTCTTTTATTTCCTACTTAATGGACTTTTTTAAAGGCTAGGTTTCTTTCAATTTAGACAATAACAGTAGATGTATAAAGAACTCTGTATCCCTCACCCTCACATATGAAGGTTTTCACTTAGAAAAGTGTTTGTATATTAGCAGAAGGGGACTATAAGAGAAGAGGACAGGAATGAAAGGAAGGGGGAAGGAAGAGCAAGGGAATATGAAGGGTCAGAAGTGATTGAAGCATATATGTATATGTGCATCTGAAAAAATAAAGCTGTTAGTCTATATATTAATAAAATGCATAATAATAGGATTATATGATTAAATAATACATTTTATATTTAGTTTTTAATAGAACAATAATCAAAGAAGTAGAATTTTGAATGTGTACAGTCACATGTGGTAAGTAGCACAAAGCAGGTGAATAACTCATTGTAATTTGGGGGAAGGGAGGTGAAAACCTTATGTGGCTATTGTTTGTAATTTGTGTACTTTCATCTCTACTACTTTCTGTATCTGATAACTGTAATTTACACACAACACTCAGCTAATTGCTTCAAAAGGTAAGATGTTTTCAGTTCATAACCCCTAAGTTCTATTTTAAGCCAGCTGCCTATTATTTTTGACACATAAACTGTTTCACAAAAGTAAAAATTTCCCTATCTCAGAGATATTCACAAGATGAGAGATTTTTCCAGTGCATCTCACAGATGTCTTCCCACTTAACTGTGATGGCAAATCTATCAAGAAATGTGCTTATTTGTAATATTCTCCATTTCTCCAATTTTTATGTTAAAATTTGGGAAAAAGAGAAATCAGCTTTCTGCGGAAGATAATGGTGTCATTCCATGCTTAGAAATTGTAATGCAGTCACTTATATGAGGGTTGGATTAAGGCCACCTATGCTCTAATAGATCAGTCATTTTCAAACATCTACCCTACCGCAAAGTTTCTAACTAATACTGTGGATGGGCCTACGAATTTGCATTTCTAACAAGTTTACAGTGAAGCTGATCACACTGGTTAGTGAACCATCCTTTGATAACCTCTAACATGAACTAGGGTGCAAAGAAGACAATAGATAATTCACAATAAAATTAAATTTATCCTAAGTGGAACCTGCTTTGGAAAAGATTATAGTGATGAGAAGAGAAAGGAAATAAGTAGAAGACAGACATTCCATCTAGTTGAATCAAATCTGATCCATCTAGATCTTCTTCATCAAAATGTATCACTGAATTGTTTTGATTTAGCTTTTTATCATGGTACAATATACTTACCAAAATTTACCACTTCAATAATTTTTAGACTCAGTGGCCAAAATTGAAAGCCTACACTTCTTCTCCTGGCAACCACTATTCTTTCTATCTCTTAGGATAGTTTTTTTTTTAAATTTATTTATTTATTTTGGTGCTGTGAATCAAACTCATGACCTTGCACTTGCAAGGCAGGAGTGGTGCTACTGAGCTAAATCCCAGCCCTAGGATAGTTCTTTGTATTTTGGTTCTTTGCTTGTTTTTGCAGTAATAAAGATTGAACCCAGGGTCTTTGCATTGAGCTGCTAACTCTGGTCCTTATAAGTCACTAAGTTGCCCAGGCTGAGCTCAAACTTGTGATCCTCCTGCCTCAGCATCCCATGGTACTGGGATTTCAGGAACGCACCACTGTGCCCATCTTCTTAGGATAGTTTAAAACTTGATTCCTACCTTAGCTTTATAGTAGGAGACTAAATGAAGGGAAGGTGTGTAAAAAACCTGTGATTATTCATTTATCTTTCTTTTGCTGCTTACTCAGGAAATTTTTACAGAGAATTATTTTTATGATAGCTCCAGTAATTGATATTTTCCTTTATCATTTAAAGGAATTATATGTTTATTCACTCCACTAGTGATTTTGAGATTGTTTAAAATTTTTTTGTCTACTTAGTATCAGGAATTGTTATAGATGCTGAGGATTCAACATTGAACAAAAACCACAATTATCTACCTTGAAGAAATGCATGCTTTCGTAGGGGCAGATGGACAAATAAAAGATCCAATATTTGGATAGTAATGAATCTCAGGAAAAAACTATTTCATTTCTAAAATATTAAAATCTTTTTGGTTTAAAACAATTATGTATATAGGAAAGACATGCTTTAGTGAAAAAGCTATTTAAATGCCAGTTGTGGTGGCGCACACCTGTAATCCCAGCACTCAGAAGGCTGAGGCAGGAGGATCACTGTGAGTTTAAAACCAGCCTGGCCTACATAGTGAGTTCCAGATCAGTCTCAACTATATTGTGAAACCCTGTCTCAAAAAACAAAACTATTTAAATCCCAAACATTTCAGCAGTCAAAAACTTTTATTCTAATCTCTCATTCTGCTCTGATATTTAGGTGCTACTTGGAAAACCTCACACTTACATACATCTCAATGGACTGTATTTGGCTAAATAAATACACAAAATGCCTGCTTGGAAAATTTTTATGCAGGTATCTTTCATAAATTCAAATGCAGCCATTCTCAGCCATCTCTTTTAATCAAAAGACACCTGTTCTGTCCCATCATTCCAGCCTCTTTTTTCATAGTACTAAGGTCATACTCCTCTCCCTTACTATTCAGAGTGTGGTCCAAAGAAGGCTCATGCATTAGCATCAAAAAGGATCTTGTTAGAAATGCAGAATATTAGACCTTCTCTAGACAGACTTGGTCAAAATTTGCATTTCAGTAAAATCTCCAGGTGGTTTGAGAAATGTTTTTGTAACCTTCACAGGCTCCGCTTCCCACCAGACAGTGCTATGGTTAAACATTTTTGGGAGATCTTGTGTACCACATACTTCACCAAATCTCAGTTTATTGGCTCTAAAAAGCTCAGTTTACATGCTCCATAAAGGAAAAATGATGCTAATTTATGACATGACAGAATTATGAATGGGTTCTGATTTCAAAGATGTTAAAATGCAAAAATTTTACATCTTAATGAACATAAATACAATAACCTGTTAATTCACTAGCATGATAAAAAGTTTCTAAAACTTCTGTAGTAAAGAGACCCCTCTAATTTTATTTAATGTACTATTTTCAAATGTGTATGTGGTCATGAAATCCTTTTTCCTTATGGTAACAACCGGGCAGCTTGTTCTTTGTGTAACTCACTTGGGAAAATACTGTTTTATGAAACAATTCAGAATGAGACACCTAAGAAAATTCTAGATGTCACTATTCTGAATTTATGGATTCTGAAATTAGGAGGAAAGAAGGAAGAATTGTAGAGGGGGAGGGGGAGAGGGTGGGAGAAGTGAAGGAAGAAAAGAAAGGAAGGAAACCACACCTGAACAGGAAAGTTAAAGTCCTCTGCAATTAGCTTTTTCTTAATATTTGCTATTTCTTTCATCAAAGGTGTTGGTTTTAGAGAAGTTATATTAACAAATAGGTGTCCTGGAGGTGAATCCAAGTGCATTGTTCAGGTAGAAGAATGCCGTGGACCAGTAGATTGTGGCTGTGAGTGAATTCTGTATTGGAGGGTTACCAAGTAAAAATTTACTCTGGGGAAATGTCCTTAACCTTAGATGGCTACAGGGTGCAAGAAGATAATTAATTCATGCACTGAAAGAAAGTTATAAAAATTTGAATAATTCTCCTCTAAACATTTATAATTCTGAGTAAACTTTCTGCTTTTGTTTTACATTTTTTTAGTGATGTCTAAAACTTAATAAACATATATTTCATAACTCACTGATGCCTAATTGTACTTGGAGTTTGTGGTTGAATCTATCCCATAGCAAAACATCTTTGATGCTTTGGTCATGGCATTTTTATCAGTAGATTGGTAAACTTTAAATTGAGCACTTTGACAGCTATTCTGTATCTATTATGCTACCCTGACATTTCAGTACCGCTAATGAGGTTTCCTAACCAGTAAATTGGAAATCACAGTATAACAGATTACTACGTTGATCACACTAGTCTTTTCACTACAGTGTGTTCTACAGTAAAATAGAGACCCATCCTCACCTGCTTATTTTGGTGACTTTATGTTTGGATTCATCACTCCACTCTGTCACTCTCGAACTCCCAATTATAAGATTTTATAACTTCCAGAAGTAATTGATATTTAAATCCAAGTTTGGCTTTCAAAAACAATAGTATAAGGTAATGAAGGGAGGACAGGTGTAAGGGGAAAAAATGAGAACCAAGACCTGTCATGTAAAGGTACAAGATCCTAATGATGAGTGTACCTGTACTGTATACCTAAAATGTACCAATAAATTCAATTAGGAAAAAAAAATATATTAGTATGTTTAAAGAAATTTAGGGCCAGGGATTTAGCTCAGTGGTGCTGCTGCTTGCCTTGCAAGAGCAAGGACCTGAGTTCAATTCCCGGTAACAAAAATAAATCAATTTATATTGCCCAATGGCATTTATGTATTTAATTTTTCTTCTTTTAGGGGGTCAACCATTTTCAGAAAGTCTTCAAAGTGTTAGACTGGCTTGCATTCGTACATCTCCTGTAAATCGCTTCAACTACATATGGAAACTTCTAAGGCCAGACCAAGTACGTAATGGACATATGTAATCTGGTACTTTCTAGTGAGAGATAAAATTTATTTCCCAGTTCTGATGACTGTCAGAAAACTCTCTTTAAAAGCATTTTCAAAAAGTGAAGTTAAAAACAGTACAACTTTATTATTATTGGAATTCAAATGTTTTCATTATTTAACAAAACTAAAATTTTATAACTGTCTTAGGGTCAGATATAATCAGAACTTAAAAACATTTGTTTTTTTATAAAATATTCTATTTTGGAAGCAAAGTTTTCACTAGCTCATGGAGGTGTTACACAGTGACAAGTAGTGCCAAGCATATCTTGAATGCAGAGTTTCTTTTAATATACATTACAAGCCTGAAGTAATTTGTAATATTATACCATTTTACAGGTAAGTAGTTGAGATATACAAGTAAATTGTTCACATTTACACAGGAAGGAAGTGGTAGAGTTAAATTTGAAATCTGGATCGTCTACTCTAAACTCCATTACACAATTAACCTTACTAGGCTAAAAGAGTCAGTGACTTTCCTTTTGTTAAAGGAAAGAAATTGCTTTCTGATCTTAAATGCAGTGAAGAACATTGATAGCTTTCTTTTTTTTTTTTTTTAATAGCAACCTATCATACTTGCAAATGATTCAGCAATCCTGGAAGTACGAAGAGATATTCACCCCTGGGCTTTTTAGTGTGACACTCTGGATAGCAATGAAGTGGTAGCATCTGTTAGATTCATAGTCTATACAGTAAATGGTAAGTACCCAGTAATGTTTGGTTTGCTTATTTTTCAAATGTTAAAGAGCATCAAAGTCACCCAGCCCCACTTCTAGAGCTCAAGTTCAGTAGACTTGGGGTGGAGCTAGAACTTGAGGCTGCACCTCTAATAAATTCTCAGATGACACTGCTGCTTATGCCCCAGGGAACACACTTTGAGAACCACTGGTTTGTATCACAGCAATTTCTCCACTAGATAGTATTTCATTTTTCCAAAATAGAGTCAGATCTTGCTCACTTTGGGAAACTGGTCTTTTAAAGACTAGTTCTTTAACTTGAAATGTTTTTGTATTTGCTTTATTCAAAAAAGTAAAAATGGGTAAATGAAATTCTCATGAATGTTTACAAAAATGCATGTATAAGAAATAAATTAAGAAACAAAGTCAGAACATTTCTCTCTAAAGCCTATTTATTTGACAAAAATACTTTTTGCTGATGCAAGAATATAATTCTTGATATATGTCACAAAAGACAAATCTTGTTCTGAGCATAATTTTACATATTAGAAATTGTGCTTATGTAGTGGATCTATCTGTAGCTCTTTTTAGTTTAATCCATGGCATCCTCTGTATCCAGATAGTTATTTCCTTTTGTTCAGTTGATCTTAGTCCATTATAATAATTTCACTTCTGTTGTTAGTATGGGAATTTGGCTCCAAATTCATTAAAGAGCCCGGTCAAAGATCTGAAGCCCTTTCCCAGAAAAAAAATCCCTATATACAAGCATGCCAAAAGTTATGTATGATTTTAAGAGAATTTAAGTACCTTTTGAAGCAATTTCTGAACCCCAATTAAAAAGGTTTTGTAGTCTGGAGATAGCACACAACATATACCCTTTGTTGAAATGAAAGCAGGTAAGTGTTTTGGGGTAATTTTTTTCAAATTACACTGTTTACTTAAACTTTCTTTGATGTGCTAGTAATGAACCTAAGAAAAAATTTTAGGGTGAAAGCTGATAACCACCCTTGTGTTGTGATATTGGGTATCATTAAAAGGATAATTTTGATAAAATACTTTTAAAGGGCAAAAGAAGACCAAAACATCAAACTAAAACTCATCTCAACTGGCCCTAGTTTATGATATTAAGGTATCTGGGTATCTGGGTCATTCTTGGACTTTGTCTCCACTGCCTGGTGCCTGATAGGACTGTTCAGTAGTGAGCTTCTTTCATGATTAGAAAGGAACATGTACTTGCTAGTGTGTAAACTAAAAACTGGAACACAGACCTCAAAATTCCTTTCCTTTCTTGAGACAAAGTTGATTTCTCTGTATTGTTGCAGCCCAGGGATGGTGAGATAGTTCTGTTGTTTTAGTACAGGATCCTCTGCTAGAGGCGCCAGAGAGATCATGGCCTTCCCAACATATCTTTTTCTGGCTTCTATTCTCTAGAACTATAAAACAATAAATTTCTGTTGTTTTTGAGTCATCCATTTTGTGGTACCTTTTTATATGGCCCCAGGAAACCAATGCACACACCACCTTTGTTTATCAAAAAAAAAAAAAAGTATTGAAATAAAATTTCAGTGGGAAATGCAGTGGTTTGGATGTTTTTGGTTGTTGTTCATTTTACCAGTACTAGTGATTAAACCCAGAGACTTCTCACAGTTTCTTAGGAAACTAAACATATCTTTATCTTATGGCAATTCCACTCTTGAGTATTTATCCAAGAGAACTGAAAGTAAATGTTCTCAACATGCCTTGCGCAGGAATGTTCACAGGGCTTTCTATGTAATACCCCACATCTAGAATAACCTAAGTGTCCATCTGTGGGAGGATAAACTGCAATATACTACTAAGAATAAAAAGGAAAGACTAGACTGTTATGTCTAACAGTATGGTGAATCTCTAGAACATTGTGCTAAGAAGGAAGAAAGGCTTTAATGTAGAAAAGCACATAGTATATGTTTCTAGTCATATGAAATTGTAGAGCAGGAAGAATTAATCTTTGCTTGAAAAGAAAATCAGGACAGTACTTGCATTTGGAGGATGAGGCAGGGATTAACTGGGACAGAGCTCAAGATAACTCTCTAGGATCTAATAATATTCTGTTTTATCCACATTGGATTACATATGTACGTTTGCATTTACCAAACCTAAGCAAATGTACATTTAAAGTAATTGTGTAATTCATTATATGTAGGTTGTATCACAGAAGAAAATTTAGCCATTGTTGTAGTCCAGTTAATAGTAATATACCTTCTGATGAATTTGGACAAACTGCAGATGTTTGCAAACTATTGGAATTCATGAAAAATTAAGGGAATTGATGAATTTATAGAGGACTGGATGGATAGAGGAATAGCAAAATACTGTATTAATGGGCTATTTAGGTGGTAGTGATAAGCATGTTCATTGTCAAGATCTTTCAGCATTTTTCCATGTTTAAAAATATTTTAAACATGCAGAGAAATTTCATTAAGAATTTTCTTTCTTCTAATGATTTTCATATTTTTCTACAGTTTTTTCAAATATAAACTTTCCACTAAGTTAATTCATTTCTTTGTTTTTAGTAGAAATAATTATGTGTGTGTTTTCTTTAGAAATGCAGATGAGATCAAGCCGACCAGACACTGATAGAGTCTTGGCATTTGTGCTGATCGTGGGAGTCATTACCTGTATATACATAATCTTCGTATTGTTCTTCATGATTATAAATTGGTAGGTGAATGGCTAGGCTGCATTGTCATCTTTGACATCCTCTTCCTTGCCCCTACACTGCTTGTCCAGTAAACTGCAAAACACTATCTATAATGTCTCCTAAATGTATCTTGAAACTGTCCAACTCCCTTCTTTCTCCTGTGCCCATCCTCCCATTT